TTTTGAATTCCTGGGTTCTTCAGCTGCAAGTCTGGGATAAACGAGGCAAAAAGAAAGCCCAGGGAGCTCGTCACTGTGTCGCCTCTTGGATCCCGAGGTCCCCGGCCAGCCTGACCTCTCCTCTTCGCCTTTCAGAGTCTTGTTATGTTTGCTTTATATGTGATACCCCAAGTACTCACCTGTGATGAGTGGGAATAGGGGAAGGTGTTTCTGCTCCGTTTTCCCAGAAGCAGAAGCCCCAGCGTGCTGTTCTTCATCTCTAAATAGACTCCCAAAGTATCAAAGTCAAAGGAGATAAGCGCCCTCAGAGAGTCGTTTCAAGGACACATAGAATTAACTCTGCGGAGCAGTATTTCCTCACCACGCAAACACTGGCCTATTTTTAGATGCATTATAGGGCCTGTGACAATGATATTTTCACACTGATCTTATCATTCAGAGTCAATACATCGTTAAGAAAATAAAACTGCTAATTCCAGCCTCTCCGGATTGTTCCCTCTGCTTCCAGTGATTTCATCTGGCAAAACTTGGCTTGAAAAAAAATACTGCAGAGTGAAATGCTAGGTTCTATGGAGAACGTAGCAACAAACACAACCCCATCTTCCCTCCAGGAGTCTGGAAACCAGAGGAAAGACGCGCGGGGAACAAAACAGCAAAGGCAGAATGCAGCGAAGGACACCAGGTCACGCAGTGGCACAGTCTGGAGGAAGGGGAAGCCCTGCCCCTGCTTCGACTGCTTCACAGAATCTGTGACACTGAGAGAGGGGACAAGATTCAAGCTGGGGATCACGAGGGGAAGGGACATTCCCAGGAAAAGAGACGCCGCAAGCGGAGGTGAGAACAGAGCAAAGACAGGGTGTGTGAGACAAACTCCAGACAGCACACGGGGCTCAGCACCTGTCTGGATAACAGGAGAGGACGGGGCTGTGAAAGTCCGTCATCACAGTGACGAAGCTGTCATTCCACGAATAAAAGTCCCTTAAACTCGTGCGTATGGACATGTATGTGCGTGTGTGTAAAATTTCTTTTCCCCAGAGAGGGACGTTCTGTGATGTCTCAACAAGGTGATGGGGCGAGTTCGATTAGGAACCATAAAGTTTCTATTTACCCTGTGAACTTCGAGATAATAAAGTGTGGAGTTATCGTCCAGAGACACTACGGACGAGTCAGGTATTAGCTCACGAGTACGGCTGACCTCAATCAGTTCAACTGGATCTCTCAGGCTGCAAGGCGCCAGTGAGCCCTAAGTCCCTTTCCCCACCCCCTGAATTCCTGGCACCTCCTCCAGGGGGCCCCCGGGCTGACCTCCCAGCACGTGCAGCTGTGCACAGGCACCTTTTGTCCTTTAAGGTCTCTCAGTATAATGGCGCTTTGTTTGCCCTGCAGAGCCCAGAACAGTTGATTTTCTCCCACCTACCCCAACACCCACGTACACATTCAGGCCCCTGTTTTGGGTCCAGAAAACAGAGGAATTCTGCAAATGACACCTTGACCCCTGAGGGTACTCGTTCAAAGTCTTCAGTAGTGCTGAAGATGTGACCCTCCTACAAAGACATTAACCATCACCATAAAGACACAGACCACCTACAGAGATGTGTACCCACCTACAAAGACATGGGCCCCCTACAGAGAAGCGGGTCAACCAATGCAGATGCGGACCACCTACAATACAGGCTGTGCAGGCTTAACGTCCAGATCCTAAACCTAAACTAAGATCCATTTCCAGGACTGCTCTTTCAGCAGGAGCCCGCGCTCCTTAAATCCAGGCCCCCCAGCTCCCCCAGTCTGGCCTGGTGCTGTACACACAGGAGAATCTGAGAGCTGCTTGTCAAGCTTAACGAAGCAGGGGTCCCCTCAATCACTGACAGCTGAACTCTTCGGGGAGTTTCTATAACTCCAGAAAAGACCTTTAGAAAAGTAACTTCCCCTTACATGACCGAAACCCAGAAGTCAGCAAACTGTTTCTGCAAAGGGCCAGACTGCACGCTTTCGTCTTTCTGTGCTCTGTGGTCTTGGCTACAACCACCCAGCGCCACTGCCATGAACACCGGGCACGCTGGGCGCCGACAGACTACGTGCAGTGACAGCGCGGCCCAGTGACCTGACCTGGAGGAAGGTGAGCCACCCGCCAGAGGCTCTCCTGCCACACCAGCCCCGCCTGTCGGGCGGAGGGTCGCCATACTAGGGCCTCAAAACCCACTCAGCAGCTGCGCTAATAAACTGAGAGCCGGCTAAAATCCAAGTCCTCCACCCGCTGGCTCCACACTTGGCCTGGGCCGATCGTTCACCCACATCTGTGCCACTCTCTCAAGGCTAAACGTGCAGTCCTCACAGGCCAGGCCGGAGCATCAGGGGGCCACAACCCTGCAGCCCCTCCAGAGAGCCGCACAGAGAGCTGCTCTCCAAGCTGGTCCACAGCCCTGCTGCCTTTGCGAACCTGAACTAACCCCACTTCCGACACAGCATCCGCGCCTGGATCTGGAAGCAGCTGCCTAGAAGTGGGGCTGGGGGCTGCGGCTTCCGTGCAGAGCAGAAGGGTGAAGGGGGCTCGCGGTCCTGAGATGGACGGCCGCTCTCATCAGGCATGCCTACTTGAGTTCCACCTCGCCTCACAGATGAGGCCATCAGTCGGGCCACAGGAAGCCAAGACCTCTTAGCTAATCACAGCACGAGCAATTACGTTCCCCTCCACCAGACACCATGACACATGTCACAGCCTGGAATTCCAGCATCCTCTCCTGGGTTGCACTAACATTGTTCAAGGAAGGACCTTAAACCAACTGCTCGAAATCTCTCCACTTACTGCAGAATTACTCACTGGAGACCCACCCAGGCCTCTCTTGTCCCGCTGTGACGTACTTGCTGGTGGCAATCATGGTCTTAAGCATCCAGGGCTGGGAGGCGTTTATTTAGCAAACACTGACACAAAACGTCCTCCACCGAGGTGCCGCTCAGAGCACACATGAACTCACTGACCTCTAACAACAGCCGCAACTGTCCCCATGTTACAGATGAGGAGGAAGACGTGCAGAGAGGTGAGTCAGCCACACAGCCACACGCGTGGTCAGCGGCTGTGGCTGGCAGAACAACGCGACCCCCGCCCCCCGCAAACATGTCCTAATCCCTGGAGCCGGTGAACATGCAGTTAAGGGGGACCTAAGGTTGCAGATAAATTAAGACTTCTCACCAGCTGACTTTAAACGAGACTACCCTGGATCAGCCGGAGGTACCCAGGGTAACCACGGGGCCTTTCAAACGGGGGAGAGGGGTCACGGTTCCAAGGATGTGACACAAGAAGGGCTTGGCCAGCCTCCACTGGCTTGAAGATGGAGAAGCCACAGGCGCAGGCAGGTTCTGGAAGCTGGGAAGACAAGGAAACTGGTTGTTCCTGGACCCTCCAGAAAGGAACACAGCCCTGCTGACGTCTTGATCTCAGCCCAGTGAGACCCCCTGGGGACCTCTGTGCCTTTCTAGGCCACTTGGTTTGTGGTAATTTGTTACAACAGCAGTAGGAAACGAAAACAGATTTTGATACTGGGAGTGGGGAGCCACCAGAACGAATGTGGAAGTGGCTCTGAAACTGGGCAACTTGCAGAGGCTGGAAGAACTCAAGAAGGTGGTGGAAAGAGCCTAGATTGCCTCGTACAGACCGCTGGTAGAAATACGGGTGTTAACAACCTGCCAGGCTCCGAGGGAGCGGGGAGTGCAGAAGAGAAAACCTAGTTTGTCCTAGGGAACACCTCGGGCCGCATGAACAGACTGTCGGCAAGCAGCTGGACCTGGGGCACTGGCCGTGGGGGGCCAGATGGAAACGAGGAACCTGTTACAGGAAGCGAGAGCAAAGGGGGTTAGCGTCAGAGGTGGTCTTCAAGGAGAGGCGCTGGGATGCAACAGGGTCTGCTATCGCCCCATCCTCAGGAAATGGGGATGAGGGAAAGCGCTAAAGAGGAGCTCCTGGGCCCCAGTGGGGTCTAGCCCAGGCGCTGATGGGGGCTCTGCCTGGGTCTCTGATGGGGGGTCTACCCCAGGCTCTGATGGAAGGTCTACCCTGGACTCTGATGTGGGGGGAATCTGACGTGAGGTCTGTTTGGGCACACTGGTCACTCCCTCACCGCCCTGCTACGCTTCCTTCCCATCAGTGACGGGCTGAGACACGGTACCATTTATCTCCTTGTTCGCCTCTCCCCTCCTCTGACGCCCAGGGAGCAGCGCCCCCCTTGAGGTCACTCACTGGAGAGCACGCACCAGAAGCAGGGCCCGCAGGTGCGCCGTCGGACAGGGCTCACATCTGCTGACTGGTGGGCGCATCTTTTCAGAGCTCTCGGACCAGCCGAGGGAGTGACAGAGAGGAGGTGCTGGCAGCTTCTGTCTCGTCACTGGGTGATGGCCTTTTGCTGCCGGGACTCGCCAAACCATTCAGAGGGACCACCCCACATGCCTCTCCCTGACAATCAGGCAAGGGTCAGGGTGACGAAGACACAGCGGCAGGAGAAGGGCCGGCCCTGGACGAAGTCTCAGTCCCACTCATCCTCTCCGGCTCCGAGTCCCCACTCCTACTGTCCTAATCCCTCGGAAGGAGCCTTGTGCCAACTGAGTAAGACGACTAACTCCTCAACAGCCCCTCAACAGCCCCGCAAGCCGCCTCCTCTCTGCTCCACCCACCACTCTACTCGCGGGCTTCGGGCAGCAAGCACTCTGTCACTTGGCAAGGACATGCCGAGGGCAAAACAGGAACTCAGACCCCTTACTACCATTTTCATTACATAAACACTCTCCTACCCCACCCACCCAACGTGACTGAGAGCATGGTTAAAATACGGTGCGTCCTTAGCTGGGCTTCAGCCTGCTGCCTCACTTCTAAAAGTTAACATGAATGCAACTTCGAAGACTATGTCTGTGGAATATAAAGAAAATTTGAGAGCAAGGCAAAAGGAGGAATCCCCTAAAAGTTAAACGTTTGAATTTACAACAAGGACTACCTAAAAGGCAAAGATTCATACCTGCCTTTTCCCGCCAAGTTGCCCAAAACCCCACAGTCTCTGAGGAACCAGGCACAGAGGTGGCCCATGTCACTGCTGACTCCACGTCTTGGTCACCTGGAGCGTGTGTACACAGGAGGTCTGCGATGTTGGGGAGGAAGCCTGACACCCCCCGCTGGCCCAGGGGCCTAACTGAGCTCACACCCGGGGTTCCGGGAAGAGGGCAGCTGCCTAGGCAGACAGGAAATGAGTCGCTGCCCCCGGGAGCCCAACGAGGACCTCTCATCAGCCAGATTACAAAATCCTCTGGCCGTCAAGATTCCAGCCGCATCGCGTCCTTGGCACTGAGGAAGAAAGCGGCCAGTTGAAATCACACTGCTCCTTCATACTTTAGATGCCAAGACGCCTGTTCTGACACCAAGGGTCAGCTCCTGTTCCAGAAACACCACACCATGGGGTGAAGGTCAGCTTCTCAGGGCAGCCCCTGTGGGGCTCTTGGCTTGGGTCCCCCAGGGCCAATCCTGCATTACCCTCTTGTGAACCAAGGACAGCAGTGAGGTCCAGCCAGTCAGTGATTCTAAGGACCAGCCCTGTACAAGACAGGCAGACAGGTCGTGTAAACGTGATCTGATTTCTAGAACTCTCCTTCCATCCCTACCAAATGCTTAGTGCTGAAGGCTCAGCTTAAGTGAAGAATTTTAGAGGAACTTCACTTGGCCGTCTGTGGGTGAAGAACAGAGCAGGGAAGGTACATTTGTACCTGGGAGGTGCAGTTTTCACAGCATGATTGCAAATAAATGAGTCAAGATGTTAAACCACCACAGTAACAAAAAAGGACAGCAACAGAGAAAGCAGGAGGGAGGGAGGCAGGGTAGACGTCTGACAGTGGCCTTCATTAATTCACTTTTAAATAGCGGGTGAGTTATAAGCTTGTTTATTCAGGAGACTGGTGCGCCCAAGTTGGCAACTTAAAAGTTCTGGATAGGACCTTGACGTGTTTGTATCACTTTTTAAAGTGCAGGCATTAACAAAGTCAGACCTTAAAGTCACGATTCCAAAAAGTCACGCTCATTGAAAACAGGTCACCCTATTCACAGTTTCTCTCCTTACCTGCAGTATCTCATTCTTTTTCATGGGGAAGGAAATATATTCTATTGTAACACTCTGATCATCAGTGTAATTTAGCAGAGTTAACAAACTGAAAGTTTGAATCAAGAACCTGTGATAAACTACTTTAGAAGACTTACATATATACTACATACACTAAAAATAATTATTCCCCATTTTAAAAATGCCTCTACACAAAATCACTTCAAAATCCCATAAGGTGCCTGAGCCTAGATCAAGCCAATGATAAGCAGAAAATGCAAACACCCACTGGCACTGAGGGAGGAGACCTGCTTTGCTGCCTGAACCCTCAGGGAATGTTCCAAGCCTCCGCTTTCTCTTTCGTAAGGAGGGGTAATTATCCTATCTCTGCTCATCCTCAAGGTTTTTCTGGATAGCCACTGGGATCCTGTTGGGGGTAGGACTTAAATGCCGCTGGTTACCACTAGCTGGCTGGGTCCCTTGCTCTGGAGCCAAACGTGCCTAAGGGTACACAAGTCGTGCTTTCCAAGCGTTACCTGGATGGTCGCTAAGGGGCACCGAGTGTCTGAACAGTTTCCCAACCAGCAAAGGAGTCAAGTGGGAACAGAGAGGGGCCAAGGGGGCCCGCACGCTGTGACTGGGCGCCTGATCCCCGAGATGAGGACCTGCGGAGCAAGGGCGGGACCCCGTGTGGGGCGGGAGACGCCTGCCCTGGGGGGGTCTTTGGCCCAGGGAGACCCCGGCCCCGAGGGACCCCTGGCCTGGGGGCCGCTTCTCTCGGGCTGGAAGCCCCTCGCCCCTCACCTGCGGTGTCCCAGATGGAGATGTTGTAGGAGCGCCACTGCTTCAGGTAGAAGGCGCCGCCCACCGTGCTGACGGTGTCCGTGAAGCGCCGCTCCATGTACCTCTGCAGCAGCGACGTCTTGCCCACGTTCATGTCCCCCAACAGCACGATCTTCCCGTCGGGTTTCCTCATCTTCCCGCAGGAGGCCCCCTCCTTTATCCCCGCGCCCTTCCGGCCGCGCGCAGCTGGGGCAGCCTGACGCCCCGAGACTATCAGACGCGGGACTCGCGGAAACTCGGACTCGC